TGGGGAAGGTGGAGAAAACGGAGGTCCAGGTTTTGAGGAAAAGGAGCACGTTGATGCTCTTCATTCAGTGCTCCACCACATGTATGCATTTTGGATTGCAGATTATGTGCCCTGGTTGAGAAGTCTAGATATTGATGGCCATGAAAAGATTGTAAGAAGCTCCATGGGTGTTTTTGCGAAATACCATGATCCAATCATAGAAGAAAGAATAAAACAATATTGGAGAGATGGTGAGAAAAAGGAGGCGGAGGACCTTCTTGACATTATGATATCTCTTAAGGATGAAAGAGGGAAGCCACTTCTGTCTATAGATGAGATAAAAGCCCAATGCAACGTAAGATAATTTCTGTTACTATTTTTGTTTCCTCAATCTATTATGTGTTTAGCATAGCAGGCAAAATTATTTTGTGCTTCTTTTCAAGTTAAACATAAAACGTGTCTGAACTTTCAGGAGTTCTTATTCGGAGTAGACGGTCCTCCGGCAGGAGCAGAATGGGCACCTGCAGAAATGATTAATCAACCTTATATTCTTCAAAAGGCCATCGACGAAATAGACAAGGTTGTAGGGAAACACAGACTTGTTCAAGAATCAGATGTTCCTCAATTAAATTACTTGAAGGCATGTGCAAGAGAAGCTTTCAGGTTGCATCCTCATGCGCCGTACAATTTGCCGCATGTCCCATTAACAGACACCGAAGTGGGCGGCTACTTCATTCCGAAAGGCAGCCATGTCCTATTGAGCCGCATTGGACTCGGTCATAACCCTGATGTCTGGGAGGATCCCTTAAAGTTCAAACCAGAGCGCCATTTTAGTGAAAATGCTTCAAGCAAAATCGAGTTGACAGAACCCAACTTGAGGTTCATAACTTTTTCTACAGGGAAGCGCGGATGTATCGGGTCCGCTCTTGGTACACTTCTGACTGTAATGGCATTGGCAAGGCTTATTCAAGGTTTTACTTGGAGCGTACCACCCAATGAGAAGAAGATTGATCTCTCTACATCGGAAGAACTGATTCTGGCTAAACCTTTGCATGCACATGGAAGGCCTCGCTTGCATGAGGCAGTGTACCCTGTAGCACCTTGAAATATCGATCTACTATAATTAATGTGTGTCGGTAGGAGAGAGAGACTGCTCTTTCCTTTTAATGTGTGTCCGTGGCACGGTGGCAGTGATGTGTGTTACTTTAATATCTAAGTTCTTTGTGGCAAATAAAATTAGCATCTGAATAACAATCTTGCGGCATTTTTTATCTGCTGCGTTTCTATTAAATTGAGAAAGAATTGTGCTAAGAAACATAGATTCGTAGATTGGTTTAATTTACATCATGTTACATGTATGTAATGGTTAATTATTAAGGATTAAAAACCATTAATTTAAAGATTCTTGACGTAAAATATTTAACACAAATGGCCTTTATACAACAGCCATATAGACCTGGAAAGGTGGTACCCATTCGCAATCTTCATTAAATCAGCTCCATCACCTTTGACATTAACCATAAAATGAAAAATAAATAAGAGTAATGTCATTTGTAGTCGCTCTACGTGCTATATATGTAATGATTAAATCATTAACTATCACAAGTATGTCACGTAAGGCGACTGTGATAGTGAACTACTGCAAATAGTATTATTCAATAAATAAACCTCGTTCCGTAGGGCACTTCAAATCAGACCAGTGATAGGATAGAATAAGCTAGATACAATTCCCATATAGAGAACAAAGCTATAGACCATTTGCTCCAATTATAGACATACCAACACCTAAAATAGAAAGTAAAGAGAAAGCATCCAAAAAAGAAGAATAAACAATATTGGTAACGGTACGCCTCTAGAAAATACAGTTACTAGAAGTTTGATAAATAAGAATGAACTTTGTGTCTTAGAATATCAGTTTTACCATTAAACGCGAGTGAGACTGTTATAATACATGCGCTTTGCGTTTTCGAGAGTTATGTAGATCCCACTTTTTATAACCGATAGATTGCAATATCAATCTTTTGTACATGTTTCACTTTTGATAGCTTTATGCTGAGATAATTGCCATCTTTCTTTTCATGAATCCTATGTCTTGGGAGCAACTTCCCACATGTGATGTATAGGGTTTAAGCCCTCGTAGAGCAAAAGCACAAAGTCTCTATTTCATTTAGCAATAAAGCTATTTGTACAAAGTTAAGTTACAAAAGTTAGGTTACAAAGTGTGTCGGTAAAATTCAGACTGTTCATTTCAAATGATTTAAAAATTTGTTTTTAAAATGATTGGTGTAGAAGTTATTTATCAACCAACTTTGTAACATAACTTTGTACAATTGTTAAAAAATTGTGAATTTCATTAAATACGTGGTTAAAATTATTGATTGATTTTGACTTAAATTAATCAACTTTTTTAGCTTTTAATCAAATAGGGGCAAAGTAAGTATGATAGTAGTGAAAGATCTTGTGCATTTGTGGCAAGTCAAAACTTATGTCATAAAATGAAATATTAAGATATATTTTGCAATAAAATGAAAGGTTTGAAATCTCTGTTACAATTTTTCCTTAAAAAAATTCACCTCGCTTTTAAGATTAAGACTCCAATAGAAAATTTCACGTACTATGAGGATTTGTTTTTAAAAAAGATGGTCCAAGACGCACGACATAAACCCCTGTTTGGGTTCATTCCCCCAAAATACATTTTTTTTATAATTATGAACCACGCATTTTCAATAAAAATAATATTATACGTAAATAAAATTTTTTTTTTCTTATTTTCTAACTATACATTCTTCAAAATTTTACCATTCAAAAATATTATTTTCCCAAAATGCATTTTTAATTTAGCCCAAACATGGGGAAAAGAACAAGCAAAACTAATACAAAAAGTAAAAACACCAATTAGGCCCCCTATTTAGCCCATACTTATTAAAACTACTTTTTTTTAAAAAAATTATTTTATCACATATTTTATTGGACCTACAATTTTTATCCATTTTTTAAAAACATATTTTATCAACTTTTATCAAAATCTGCTAAAAATCTGATTTTAATCCAAAACAAACAAGGGCTAAACATAGTTAGACAAATTGTTGACGACGACGAAAGAAGAATTACTATACTAATTGAAAGTCAAATACAAGACATTTTTCACTTTCTCAACTTCTCCGTACAAAAAACTCGAACACTCGACGCATGCGTACAAAAAATCAATGGCGGAAATAATTAGTCATAATTGTTGTATTTCAAAATTAGAATTTGGTTTGTCAGTATACAATTACTAAAATGAATATTGATCGTTCATTTTGTATTATGATTATTCCACTTTTAAAACAATATGCAATATTATCAAATATTTTTTAAGACGGCGTATTCATTATAATTATTTTAAAACTAATCCAAATTTATAAATTACAAAATAAAATCATATGAAATGATGAGTAATTTTGGAATATCAATAAAACTTGATATAGAAAAAATTAATTTAATTAATTAGGGTTAAAATGTGTAGGTAATTGGCAAAGAACTATGCTACGAGTACAGAGAAATTTCATAGAATACATACGGAAATTTAAAATGGATGAACTGTATTCTAACATGGAGGAGGAAAAATACATATACACGCACATTATTTTTTCAATTCAAAATTCAGTACAAAATCTGACAACATTCCTTGTACTTTAGGAATTATTCATTGGAAAAACAGAAAACAAAACCTTAGAAATCGTCTTTTGCTAGACATTAATGAGTTCTTAAATTTACCAAATACCTAAAATAATTTCTAATTGTCACACAATCAAAAGTTACACTAAATGGGGCCTCAAATTCATTGTGCTGACAAATGTAAACTAAAACATAAATAAATAAAAAGGAAAAAGAAATATATGGTTAAAAGGAAAAAAATAAATAATAATAAATCTCCGCATACTCTACAATAAAATTGACTTGTAGCTCATATGTTTTACTTAGTGTGAAGATGACAATCGGCACCGCTTCAGATCCAATTTTTTGTGGATATAAAATCATGAATTAATTGCAATAACTTATGTTGAATTTTTTTATAAAACTTAAATTTTATGAAACATTCATGAATTGTCAAGATCTTCATGTCGAATTATCAAGAAAATTGATTAATGAGGAACATACATTGATCCATTGATTCGTATATTGAATTAATGAATTTGGATCAAGAAATATGAACTATTTTTTTTTTTAATCAATTTATGGTATCAATTTATGTTAAGTTAAATATTAAACCAAAAATATTAAATATAAATTAATTTTTTAAAACACATATAAATAAATATACTCAAGATGTAGTCTATAATAATATTATAAAGTCCCTCTTTCGTGTAGTTAAAATCAAATTTTTAGTATAATTTGATAAAAGTTGATTAAATGTATTGTTAAAAAATCGATAAAAATTGTAAATCCAATAAAACATGTTATTAATATTAATTATTGTCTTCGACTTGAATTTTTATCAAGAGTGCGTTTGATTGTGAGTATGAAATTTACATGGAAAGAAAATAAATTCTAGGAATTTATTAATTAAATGTGTGATTGATTAGTTTTCAATCTAAAAAATATTATACTTATCTATTTTTTAAGATAATCTTTTTTATGAGAGAGAGAAAGAAATAGTGAATTACCTGAAAAATAAGGAAAATATAGTCACCTGACCAAAAGTAGAAAATATTTTTGTGGAAAAAAAATTGTCAATCAAACAGCACAAAGTAGAAATTTAGGTGAAAAAAATATATTTTTCATAAAAAATATTGTATGTTTAGCTCGAAGTGTTACAATTTGATTCTTGTAAAATCCTGCATTCGATGTGTTACAGCAGTTACTAGTCAAAGGGGTTACACTAGAAATTGGAGCTAAAGAAAATTTCCACCTTTTTTGGTATTTTGGAAGATCATGACAATGTGCACCGCTTCAGATCCAATTTTTCATCATATAGAATTTGGAAGCTTTCAACTTTTAGGTTATATATAAAACCCTGAACTGAACTACCTTACAGTACCATGAATTGCACCAAGTTCCCAATGTCAATCACCATGTTTTTCTTCATGTTTAGTTTGCTTTTTTCTTGCATACTCATCTTTGTCACCATCAAAGGTAAAGTCCTGAACCAAAGCAAAAAACCAGCACTTCCACCAAGTCCATTATCCTGGCCAATAGTCGGGAACCTTCCTGAAGTCTACATGAACAAACCTGCATTCAAATGGATAGATGGAACAGTAAAAAAACTAAAAACAAATATAGCCTGCTTCCGTCTGGGCAGAGTTCGTGTAATGGTAGTAGTTTCACCTGAACTCGCCCGAGAATTTCTGCAGAAACATGATTCTGTTTTTGTGTCAAGACCTTTAACCATGGCTACTGAATATTCAAGCCGGGGATTCTTGACCATGGGAGTTTCCCCATGGGGAGAACAGTGGAAGAAAATGAGAAGGACTGTTACCCATGAGTTGCTCAGTCCAACCAGACTTCGATGGCTACTTGACAAGAGGAATGAAGAAACTGATAATCTTCTTTACTATGTTTTCAAACAGTGCAACAATCCAGATGGATCAGTAATTAATCTGAGAGTACCGCTCCAACATTATAGCGTAAACGTAATCAGAAAGATGAGTTTTAGCAGAAGATTCTTTGGGGAAGGTGGAGAAAACGGAGGTCCAGGTTTTGAGGAAAAGGAGCACGTTGATGCTCTTCATTCAGTGCTCCACCACATGTATGCATTTTGGATTGCAGATTATGTGCCCTGGTTGAGAAGTCTAGATATTGATGGCCATGAAAAGATTGTAAGAAGCTCCATGGGTGTTTTTGCGAAATACCATGATCCAATCATAGAAGAAAGAATAAAACAATATTGGAGAGATGGTGAGAAAAAGGAGGCGGAGGACCTTCTTGACATTATGATATCTCTTAAGGATGAAAGAGGGAAGCCACTTCTGTCTATAGATGAGATAAAAGCTCAATGCAATGTGAGATCATTTCTGTTACTAGCAGACGGTTATTTTGTCCCTCTTTCGACATCGCACTTTAGATCTTTACTTTTACAAATAAGTTTCGTGTAACAAGTCTCAACTATCTAGTCGTCCTATAACAGAACTTATTTTTTCAGGAGTTCTTATTTGGAGTAGATGGTCCTCCTGCAGGAGCAGAATGGGCATTGGCAGAAATGATTAATCAACCTGAGATTCTCCAGAAGGCCATCGAAGAAATGGACAGAGTTGTAGGGAAACACAGATTGGTTCAAGAATCTGATGTTCCCCAATTAAACTATTTGAAGGCATGTGCAAGAGAAGCTTTCAGGCTGCATCCTCATGCGCCCTACAATTTGCCCCGCGTCTCATTAATAGACGTTGAAGTTGCTGGCTACTTCATTCCTAAAGGCAGCCATATCCTATTGAGCCGCATTGGACTTGGTCACAACCCCGAAGTTTGGGAAGAACCATTGAAATTCAAACCCGAACGTCATTTGGGTGAAAATGGTTCGAGTAAGGTAGAGTTGACAGAGCCCAACTTGAGGTTCATAACTTTTTCTACAGGAAAGCGTGGATGTATTGGGTCATCTCTTGGGTCACTTTTGACTGTAATGGCATTGGCAAGGCTTGTTCAAGGGTTCACATGGAGCATACCACCTGATGAGGAGAAGATTGATCTCTCTACCTCGGATGAACTGATTCTGGCTAAACCTTTGCATGCACGTGCAAGGCCTCGCTTGCACGAGTCAATGTACCCTTTGGCACCTTGATATGGATCGACTTTAATTAGTGTGGTGACATAAATGCTAATTGTGTCAGTTAGAGATAGACTTATCTTTCTTTTTATGATACGTGTGATGTGTGTTTTGTTCATAGTGGTCGTAAAAGTGCGACGTGTGTTAGTTTATGGTGTTCGTGAGAGGGTGACGTGTGTTACTGTAATATCAATATGCTCCGTTCACTAATATAAGGTATCTTAGCATTTGAATAATGGCCTTTTTGCATTTTCAATAAATTGTGCGCATACCTTAAGTACATATTACGCTCCGACAATTATTTCCTCACCATGATTCTCAGATTTCACCAGAATTGAAAATGGTCTAGGTGTTCCCCCAACACAGCACGTGGGAATAACTTGAAAGATAACTCATTCCGCTCTAACACTTTAATTTTTAGATGATACCGTACAACCGAAAGACACAAAAAGCTCATGCACATAAGAATGATTTATGTAAATAATCTATAATTAAATAATCTTGTAGCAGTATGCAGTCAAGCAGTAATTCAAGAGAGAACAAGGGAAGAAAGGACCTGTGTAAAGGAAAAAAAAAATACTCAACAAGAAAAAAAATTTAATCGGGGAATAGGTAACACAGAACTTCACACCAAATTTTGATAAAGAAAAAAGCATACTTTCCTCTAATTTCTCTCTGCCTTATCATTACACCACTTCCCTCATCCTATTTTTCTTTTGCCAGTTTCTATCTGTTTTTTCGTGGGTAAGGAACTATGAGTAGGGCTCTTCAATATTATAACTTTTATTGCAAAAGGTTAAAATGCAAGAGCAATGGATATAAACGGCTTGCTTGAATGATGGTAGCTGCCGTGATGTAGTGTATTTATATTTACATGAAGAACATTCTAGATAATACAGTGATTGGTTACTTGATTACAGAGAAGCTGTTAGAATAATTATCAACAAATTGATAGTGGTAGCACAATGAAGGAATCAGTTATGTTGGAGCAAGTGTGGACCACTGCTGATGTGGAGAGAGTGCTGAGGTGGAGTGTGACTATCATTTTTATTCTTAA